GGTTTTTCCTCTCAGTGTTGTTGCCAGCATGAAGAATGGACAATGCTGGTCTCAGAAATATTTTAATATATTAAAACACATCTTAATATGTCCTGTGAGCATCCCCAATGACAATAAGTTTATCTGCACTTTTTCTGGTAGCTGGACACAGGTGTTAGGATCTGCAATAAGCAGACTTCAGAGAAATACTTAAATAGTCACAGACAGTATTACTGCCTGGGAGACAGGTGTTCCACTGCCTCCATGAGTGGAATATTTGCAGACTACTTTATGGAATAAATACACATGACCATATGCAGAAGCAACACCAAGCTTTGCCCCACTGATTCACCAAAATCCCTCCATGCTTAAGCAAAGCTTAAGCTTTTTAAGCCACGTGCTGGCTAGTGGTGCAGTCAATATATTTATGATCTTAAAAAGCTGCATTTTCAAGGAAAATTTTTACATGGATGTAAGAATTATGATACTTGTAAATAGAAAGATTTTAGCAGCACAAAATGCATTATTTTTAAACAAACAAGCCCGTTACTATCTTTAAAAAATTTGTTTGCTGTTCTTCGGTGAGATACTTCAACTGGCATCGAAGATATAAAACTTTCAATGACTTTAAGTCATTTTTCAAGATGTTTTTCCTGTTTGCTGGTTGGCAAAAGTTACTGATATAGGAAAAGTGAAGTAAAATGAGCATTACTTATGGAGAAGTTCGCATTCTCATTCAGCATTAGCTAAGAAAAAGCTAAGAAAAAACAAATGCAACTGTTCAAAAATAATGGATGAATTTTGTTTATTTTTATTGTAGTACATGATTAATGAGCTGTCATTGAGTTAAGGCATTCATTGACATGTTTCTGTAAGCTTGTTTAGATAATAAGCCTTAAGAGATGAATGAAGCATGTCCTGACAGATTTGCTGTGATGATTTCTTTGCTATATCTGGGGGACATAAAAGATCTCAGCTTGTTTAAAAAAAAATCTTCTCATTAATCAAATCCTGCCTTATGCCGTGGAAGTGCCATTTTGAAGAGAAGCACAAGTGAACACCACAGAAGCATTCAAATAAATTATGTAGGTCTACAGTTATGTTGATTTCCCCAGGTGATAGGAATTTAGTTGCCAAAGATGTACCTCCAGAGACCAGTTCTCTGGGGATTAACAAAGCACATTATGCAATTAACCTTTATACCAGGTTAATTGACCTAAGAACAGAAAACATAAAATCAGACTAATGCAAGTATTTCTTAGTCACCGCTTTTTTAGTCACTTTTCATGATCCTTGCAAACAGCGAGAGAACAGTCTACTCTGGACACAAGATATTCTAAACGATCATGCTCTCATGTGGTCTCACATAGCAAAGAGTAGCTGAAGACAGTTTAGCATCACTCCTCAAGAACTTCTGGGGGAGGGGGGGGGCAGGGGGAGGCTTTCTCAGGTGCAGATTCTCCTTTGTAAAGAAGGATGATTGTGGTCAGCCATGAATTTATTCAGTTTGTGGGATTTCTGTAACAAGGAGTAAAAGTCTAATGGTCACAAGAAAATATTTTTTTTCAGAAGGTGTTCTGCAGTGTACTTCAAGTACTTATATATATAAGAAGCAAAGATTCTTTTGAAGATGTTTTTATATATATATATATATAAGATGGCAAAAGTTGTATATATAAGTTATATATATATATATATATATATATAAACATCTTCAAAAGAATCTTTGCTTCTTATATATATAAAGTACTTGAAGTACACTGCAGAACACCTATATATATATAAACAAACATTCACTGAATTGAGCTCTGAACTGGACTCCCAAGTTTACTTGCATCTCACTGTCTATAGCAAATTACTCTTTCTCCACACCTGGAGAGGCATCTAGGTTTGTTCATGTACTCAGTGCCTGAAAAAATCAGGTAAGACTTTTGAAAACAATGGGCATGTATTAAAAACAGAAAACAGCAACAGCTGGATAAATATGGCAAGTATCCTGCTTCACCAAGCAGCCAAAAAAAAATAAAAAGAGAAAGCAGTCTGTGCTAAGTGAGGGTCATCCCCCTGGTTTAAAAAGAAAAAAAAGCAAAATTGTGTCTTTCGTGACTCCTGAAATATTGCATCTAAAGCCACAGGGACAGAAGATACTGCCTAATGCTGTTGTATATCTTGAGTTATTTGATGAACTCCCGAAACATGGAACCTGCTGATATTAGGAAATTATATCGATAGCTTCAAACAGCTGGGGAGGTTGACAGTGCTAAGAATTGTAACCCTAACGGTTGCTCCAGCACTACTGAAAAAAGTGAAAGCAGTGCAGAAGAGAAGCTGTCACAGCTTCTTTAACAACAGCCTTGGGTTATTCATCACTAACACTGGAATCAAATGAAATCACTGATTAGAACTGAAGTCCTATCTCCTTCTAGGTTTCTTTTCAGTGCTGTCAGGAACAGAGGTTTCTATTGTCTGAAGAAAAAGGATAGCTTACAATACAAGCTGTAAGATTTCATATTACTGTCACATGGAATAAATTTATTGGGAGCCATTTCTGGACTGTCATATCAGTAGGAATTTGCCAGGAAACAGTTTTCCATCTTCTTTGTTTCTGACAATTTTCCTTTCCATGTTCCTGTTCCTTAGATGAAATCATTTGTCCATCTTATTTTGTATTGTAATATTTCGACAGATCTAAAGGGTTTTGGCTAGTAACTAGATTTGCTAGTTTTCAAATACAAAAATACACCAACTTGTCTCTTTGCATCTCCTCTCTCATTTGCAAAGCATAAAACAAAGACCAACAATGAAGATAATTTTCAGTTCCCTACAAAGGAGCAACATGAAATCATGATTCTCTCACTGAGATCTTAAATACCCAGATCACTTGATTCAGGTTTTTGTTTTGTTTTGGATTTGTTTTTTTGTTGGTGGTGGTGGTTGGTTGTTTAAAGCAAAGAATGTAACCTGAATGATCTGTTTGCGCAAACAGGCTTTCAAAACTGAAACAGTTATTGTAAGGTCATCTGCAGTGAATCCTGAAGAAAGATCATAAGGAATTGACGTGTTTATAGGGTATAGGACCAGCATAACTGGGTGCAGAGTCTACAGTTCTTTTCTTGACTGAAGGCTAGGCCAGGAATAGAAAATTTGAATCTAACTTAACTTCTATTTCTGAAATATAAGTATCATTATATGGTGGTTATTTAACAGAGAAGTCTGTCTATATAAATTGAAGGAGAATATTTATAATCTGTAAGGTAATAGAGGACAGTGGAATACCTTGTCTTTCATTTTTAAGCTAGTAGAACTCATCCTTGTCAATTAGAAGTGTTGCATAATAGGTACAGCTCAGTTCATAATTTAGATATGTATTTCCTTGCATTGTAATAAGTTTACTGCAAGAATTATGTTGAATATTATTGGATAATTAATGCAACATTGACAGAATAGTTGTTGTATGCTTGCATACTTTACTTAGCAAAAATGCAATATATGTCTTCTCCCAATGACCAGATGTACAATAAATCACAGCAATGATTTAATTCTGTGAAAGAGGAGTTAAGAATTGACAGCACTAAGTCAGGCAACGTCATACAGTTTTTCTGAACTGACCCTGCACACATGTACGATGGCAACACCTACACTAGACAAGGTGTCTTCAGTTCTGAAATCGAGAAACCAAGGAATAAAAGACCCCCAGAATAAAAGGTTATAAAAAAAAAATCAGCCTCTCCTTTACTCGGGCATTTTGGCTGAATCCTTACATGCAAATACACTAATATAACCTGTATTTGCAATGGGTGACTTTAATTTGCTGGCAGGGGAAAAGCAATGCTTTGTAGTCTGTGGAAGAAAATTTGACTTGGCCCAGCTTTTTCTAAAAATGTTGCCTGTTATGTGAAAATCTCATCAAATATAAAGGTTTTTTTATTGAAGTCAGGCCTCTTAAAACACCTGTCATGCATGGACATGTGCTCAAAGCCTCATAAAGGAAGGCCAATTTTATTTTTACTATTTAGTTATTAAAGATGAGGAAAACTTATACTGATTGAGTTAAGAATTTGTACAAATGAAGCTGCTCTCAACTTAATAGTTTTGATAAAGTTAGTCTCAAGAACAAGACCAGATTTGTTTGCTGAAAGATTAGGTGAAAAGAAGCTGCAACAAAAAAGCCACGAGAATCAATTCTCAGCTTTTACAAATCTGCTGTACATACAGTTCATGCATTAGACTATCAGAATTAGAATAAATGAAAGCTGCAGATAGACTACCACAATTTTTTCCTATATTCGTATGTGCCAAATGATCAGAGACTCTCACTAAAAGGAAAGTTTTAACCTGTTCCTTTGAGAACCATTTTGGCTGATGAAGGGATGCTCTGGTCCAAAGACTTCTGAGAGGAGAAACTCAAGGGCCCCCTTCTGGCTGGGAGCCCCGCTGAGCACACCAAGGCAGTGGTTGCTAGTCACAAGTAGCTCAGGCTTGTTTTGCATATCCTACTACATAATAAAAATCGGTAAATCATGTACTCGAGAGCTTAACATTGCCAGAAGCATTATAGCTACATTAGGATGCAGAAGCAGATAATACGATATCAAACAGACTGGGATGTATTTACTTAAAGATGCCAGTAAGCCATGGCTGGAATACCTGAGTGCTATATCAAATTCACTGGAAGGGTCACACGTTTTGCTTTGAGCAAGATCATTTGAAGTCTGTTCATAAGAAAGCAAAAGCCTTAGAGCACTTGTGGTTGCTGTGCTCCACTCAGCTTCAACTCTGCTGTACACAAACATACGCTATCCAGAAGGGCTGTGTGTGTATAACTTTTTTACCCCTTGGTATAACCTTTAAAAAAAAAAAAAAAAAGAAAGAAAAAAGAACCAAAACACAGAGTTTAGCTTATCACATGTTGTACTTCAACTAACAAAAAACCACCAAAACCGCAAGTTTTGTTTCTGGTCCCATGTGCCTGGGTACAGGAAACCCACGTTTTGGAGCCAAACAGGAAGCAGTGTCATACAACACAATGAGCTGCGCAGCACCACACACCTTGGATAATTAAGTAGCTGACAGTAATTGAAAATAACCCTGCTTCTGGCACAGTAAGTACCTTGTATTACTGGTTGATGTATTGTAGCTACTGACACATGACAGAATAATTTGTCTTTTATTCAACTCCAACACTGAATTATTGGAACTTGGAGTTGTCTGTGGCCTAGAGGGAGACATCGTGCCCAAGTTTCATTTGCTGTTATTGAAGGCAAGAGGTTTATAAAAGTTAATGAAATACAGCTAGCTAAGAGACTGCAGTGGGTCTGAATCTCAGAAGAAACAAATGCCTATCATTATTACACAGGCCAGCAAAAATTCATCAGTCTTTCCAATCTATGATACAATAGATAATATTTAACATTTTTATTGCAACTTTGAATTTGACTTTGAAGTCATCTGCATGAGTTGTTAAGTTCATCACAGGAGAGCTGCTGCTGCAACAAAACCCAATCCTTTCTCCATCCCCTGTTAACAGGCTACCAATTTTCTAGCAAAACATTCCAGGGAAAAGAAAACTTTGACACTTAAAAATTTAATCCTGTGTAAAACATGGAAACTTGTATAATCCTAGCATAGAATGAAAAGCATTTTGACAGAAAAAAAATAACATTATAGCTCTGTAAGTGTTGAGCCATCAGTAAAGGACTTAACACCTGTTTGGTTGTGCAGTTTTAAAGTAAATCTCACTAATACTTTGAGAAAATCATGATGCTTTCTGGGATATACAAAGATTAAAATGTCACTGAACGCATCAAATTTCTGAAGATGCGCTATTACTGATAATGGCTAAATAACTTTCCCTTATTACTAAGGAAAATGATTCTGTAGCAAACTATCCGTGAATGTCTGCATAAACAAGTCTGATTATTTTTCTTTAAACAGTAAGATTTTCCACCAGCATAACTTCATTGTTCAAGCTTTTTCTCTTTTAAATGAAACAAAGAAAGAATCACTGACCTTGAAACATTCCCTCCCATTACAGCAGTTCCCCTAGCTTTAAAGTATGCTTCCAATGTTACTGCTGCTTTGGAAGCAGCTTACACTGCACATTGCAGCAACTGCTATTCAGGCTGTTCAAATGGTTGCTGAGCTGGGGATGGGAAGATAAGAGGGTATAAGGTAGCCTGTTAACAGGCTACCAATTTTCTAGCATACAGGCAAGAAGTTACATGTTACAGTAACTCTTGCTGTAGTTCCTTAACTTTGTGGAAGAGCAGATATAAGCATCCCTGATGGGAGGATGGAGTGGACAACAGAAGAATAACCAAGTGTGTTAGAACTAAATGAAGGTGAGAGAAAGGGAGAGAGTGTGAGAGAGAGGGGAAGGAAGTGGCTGTGCAACACCTCAGGTGAAGTTTTCCTGTTGCTTTTGATTTCTGTTACGTTATGAGCAAAAACTCCTCTACAGTTAAAGAGATCCCTTAAAACACTGCAGAGTAAAACCCATATAACCCTTTTCTCATTTATCCCCTGGTGAGCTCTTAATTGTTCTGCAGGCTGATACTACTGTCATAGCCAGTAAGAAAACCTTGGCCACCTTTCTACCTTTGAGTCCAATTGTAGTAGCTTAAGATCCTCAAATGCATTTATGGGTCTGTTTCTACCTTCAGCTTTTCTTCAGCATTCAAAGCAAGATCTCAAGCACTGTGGGTTTTAATTTGGGGGCTACTGTTTGTCATAGAAGGCATACTCCCACCTTTAAGAAAATTTGGAGGCTACTCTCCACCTGACAGCAGAAAGAACATCCAGGGAAAAAGCTTTTTATAACTTGCAAGATTTCCAACAAGTTAACTGCATGTTAAGTGCAGAAGTGATTTTCTAACTGAAAGTTTAGTCCACTTAGGAGCAAATAAATGAAGAATAACTTCACTTAGTATTTAATGTTCTATGAACTATTTTTTCATGTTTATGCTGCATTGCAGATTCCCTTGGTACACAGAATCTACACTTTCCTCTGTTATAATGAAATCTTATTCCCTCCAAGGGAACAACTTTTCCCCAAAATAAGCAGGATTAGAAATAATCCGGCAATCATGCCACCAAGAGTTAATAATTCATATTAAGTACAGTTGCTGGAAAGTTTTTTCAGTGTCTATTTATGAAAGACTAAACACCATATAAATCCTTGAAAATGATTGTATTAAACATTTACTACTTTATACTTCGAACTCACAGTGCTGTATGCACGTTTGCCTAAGAACAAGTTTTCAGCCTGAAAGTACTTGCTGGTTCTGCACTGGTGGAGAAACGTGACAGGGAGTCAAAGAGGTTTCTGAAATAATGCTTCTTCTCAGAGTTTATAGTTTTGTTCTCGGTTGCTCATCCTTCAATCCTTTGACAAATACGCCTATAAACTGTCTGTTTGCTGCCTTCTAATCTTGTTCAAGGGTTTTGTTAGATTGTTTTGCTTCTGCCATCTCAGTTTTGGCATACTTGTCCCAGGTGTCTAGGTTCTCCTTCCTCACATTTCCCCTCCCACCCGTGTCTATGGAAAAAGATAGTTCTCATGCATTATGAATACTAGCAATAAGCTCTGAAATCACAGAGACTCCTACTGTGTATTTCTTAGGTGTGGAAACCTTTCTGTAGTTGTACAGAATTTTGTACACTCTTAATGCTTTCAAAAATTTTGTAGGTTAGAACATGCTCGAAGCTGATGTGATGTTCAAAATTATTTTTCTGCTAAACCAAGCACAAAGAAAGACTGAACAATGCTTTTATGCTTTTCGTTATTGAAAAAATGCTGGTAGTGTTCAATCAGCAAGATTTGCCTTTCAGAACAATAACTTCAAAAAATCTTCCTGCAATGCAGGACACCCTCCCAACACACTCTTCAACTTTGTTATAGAAACATGATTTTTGCAACAATGAAGTAATCCGTTGATTTTCTTTGGAGGACAACTGCTTCCAACAAAAAAGGGTGGTTATAAAGTTAAAAATGAGACAAGCAGGTTTAAATTCAAACTCAGATGTTTAGTTTGGTGAACAAATTTTTGTAAAGCCAGAGGAGTGTAGTTTCTGCTGAAAATAAAATGCTTCAGGTGCTCCCAATACACATCATTGTGTCTTTAGCAATATGCTCAAAGAATTTCACTTATTCACCTCAGCGAAAGGGAACAGAGGTTTTTCTGTTCTGAAAGTTACATCAGAAGTCATGACATACACACGTTTGAATAAATCAGACACTAAACATTGAATCAACTGTAGTTTCTGAGCTGTGCACAAGGAAATGTTAACCCTATTCTGATTTAATTTCAAATGCTACAATAGTATGCAGTGGTGGACATCAACAGCAAAACCAGAGCAAACCTTGCAGGGCAAAATAGCAAAACAAGCAATAACAAAGATGCTTTTATTTGCCCACCCCTATGTTTGCAGCTGCCAAGAAATTTGCCTGTTTGCACCCCTTCCTGCTCCCCTCATCATGTGCTGTTTACCTCTCATAGATATTTCTTTCTGTATATAACAATGAATTTATATGGGTTTTAGCCTCAACCCTTGCTACCACCTGTGGCTAATGCTGACTGACACTTCTCAGTGCTTGCTGTTGATGATAGTTTTGCAAAAGCTAAGCTGGTTGGAGTGCAATAGTCCATGCCAGACAAATGCCTCAGGCCAGTATTTCTGCTAGAAGTTCCTGCTAGAACAGCCTGTCATTTTCAAGAAAGATTAACTACATTTTCCTCCTCACCTTCTTCCCTCTTCTCCCCCTCCCTAGAAGAGCTTGTTTCTTCCATACAGAAAAGCAAATACCTATTTTTGTTCAGCTGTCGTCAGATTTCCATACACATGCACTGGAGTCTGACGGTGTGTGATAAAGGCTACAGATGAAACTAGTTTTTATGTCTACAAACATTCACCTAAATTCAGAAAAGCAGAGAGATTTTTCTGTTTCTTCCTTCAGAGGCTTTAAGCTTACTTCCATTAATTTCCCAGAACACTAACCTTTTTCAAAAAAATCCATCTCCATAGAACATGACATCAATATCATTTGCAATTGATTGTCCCAGAGAAAAGATGAGGATCTAGTAGAATAAAATTGTGTGATCAGCATTGTCAGGCAGAGCTGCGTTCAAGTTGAACAGGTTATATATCAGTTGATGCTTCCCAGCTAGATATGGGTGCTGGTTTTTCAGGACGTGATCAGTCCTGAAAGAAAATGTGATGTATGAAACACAGTTGGAGTAAAGCCGCAAAGCAATGGGTACTAACAGTTCACTGCTCTTTTCCTCTCGTTTCTGCTTTCTCCTCTCACCCTTTCCCTGCCCTCACACCCTGACTCGTCCCACACAAGTCAAGCACAGGCCAAGCCACACCTCTTAACTCTTCTCAAGGAATATGCTGGCTCCATATAGCTCTTCAGTGTCTCCTTCAATTTTCAGAAAATGGAGAAGAACCAACATTTTAAAAAGCATAAGAACTCCAAAGAAAACATAACTTAAAACTCTGAAGCCAAAACATCTTTTGCTACATTTGACTTAAGTTTTTCAAGGTAGAACACAGCCCTGGATAAACCAAATGTTTATTTCTTTCCCATGTTGGCAGATACCTCATCTTAACTTGTATTTTAGAACTGGAAAGTGTTCAGGAGATAAACCATCTAGACAAATAACTGAGAATAAACTTGAAGATTAGAACAATCTGTTCCCAGTTTCTTTAGAAATTCCCCACAATTGTTTACTGTAGATTTTCCTTCTGGTTCACGCTGAAGCTAGAGTAAGATAAAAGCTAACTGATCTTAGCTACCTAAAGAAAAAAAATATCAAGAACTTGGTGTTTGGAACAACATATAGGCAAGATCTCTGAACCTAGTTGTCTCTGAAAGTAACAAAGGTGGTCCTAGGTCAGAAATAAAGCTGCCAGTAACATTTTCCCTGGTTAGAACTTGCATGCAACCTCTGTAGAGGTTCTTATTGCACTGGTTTTTGAATGTTTCCACACCAGGTCTGTGAGGCAGACATTAGCCTTACAGCTTTTCTGTACTTTGCTCGTTAATTATCTAAGAAATAGCTTTCCTACTTTCATTAAGCTTTTTCAGAGCATCTGCCTT